TTTCAGCCGGCTCTGGGACAAGGATGAGGCCCTGAGGCTGCTGCTGATGGGGCTGCTCTGCTCTTTCCAGAGCTGCTTCATCTGTGGCCAGAGCGGGGCCACCATCACCTGCTGTGAAGCCGACTGTGACCTGAGCTTCCACCTGCCCTGTGCCAAGCAGGGAGGATGTGTCACCCAGTTCATCAGACCATTTAGGTACCTCCTGTTCCTGCTGGCCACCACCAGGGAAGGGCCCAGCACTTCTCTCCTCACCCACCCCTTTTTCCCCCAGGTCCTTCTGCCCCACACACAGACCAGAGCAGGCAGTGGAGGCGACTCCAGAGCCAGGCACCGAATGCCTCATCTGCATGGAGCCCGTGGAAGAAAGAAAGACCTTCAACACCATGGTGTGCCCAGCGTGCAAAAACGCCTGGTTCCACAGGGATTGTATTCAAGTAAGAATGGTTCCCTAAACCCCCACGGGGTCAGCAGGGTCTCAGCAGCACCAGGGCCTCACTCTGACTGCTCCTGTTTCTCCTGCAGGGACAGGCTCTGCATGCTGGTTTTTTATCCCTCCAGTGCCCCCTCTGCAGGGATAATAACACATTTGTTATGAGTCTGTTCACCATGGGGATCCGAATCCCCTTCAGGTTGGTGTCCTTCTGCCTGGCTCACAACACAGGGGAGTGCAAGTGCTGTGCCATGCAAGGGTTCAGCTTCACGCAGGAGCTGGAAATGGCAGAGGGGGAAGAGCAGGGACACCCTGCACCTTCCTGATGCTGGGGCAGAGGCAGCTCATCAGGTTTCCTTTTTCCATCAGACCACCATCATGGGAGGGCATTAATGCATTTGCCGAGCTAGGAGAGAGGCACAGGCACTGCGATGCCAGAGAGTGCCTTTTTCCAGGAGGCAGAGCAGAGGCAGAATTGGAAGGGTAAGTTGCCAAAGCTGCATCCTGGGGCTCTGCAGGGCTTGAAGCAGAACGACCCAGGAGTAGAGCTCAGCCAAATAATCCCACACTTTGGATACTTTGTCCTCAGCTCCATAAAGTCATTTGCTTCCCCAGGCCCTGGGAACTGCTCCTGTGCTCCTCCTGTGCAGCCGAGGGCACCCACAGACACTGCTCTGGCCTGAGGAACAGCATAACCAGCTGGGAATGTGACGGCTGTGCTGGTCTGGGAACAGGTAAGAGGCAAAGCACCCTGGTGAGCCTTGGCCAGGTGGCCCTGCGCCTGGCACTGGCTGCCCAGGCTGGGTTTGGCAGGGCCTGTCTGCTCCAGGACAGCCGGGGACACTGCTCTGGCTTATCCTGTCCCGAGCCTGGGGTGGCCTTGACATTCCTGCTTCCCCTTCCAGCCTCCAGAGGTGACTCAGAGCTTGCTGGCCCCAGCACGGCCAGACTGTCAGGACTGGAGCCTTCGGAGGTCTCCAGAGAACCCGAGACCATCAGCCCCAACACAGGCAGCCTGGTGTTGTCAGGGCTGTCTC